TAAAACTGAAATATATGTTATATAACTATCTGCTTTAGAAATGCCAAACTTAAACTCGATAGCTCCATTTTTAGCAAAGTTATGGCAAAAAAGAACTACTTAAAATGTATTACGTAAAATTTTCAAATTCAATTTTTAGCCGTCACAGACAGAACACACAAAGCAAGCCAAAGACCACCATTGGATTTCCTGTGATGAGCTGCATCGAGTAGATACCCCTTTTATGCAAAATATCAACTTTGAAATTTGACCTTCTTTGACCTGGCCTTGACCTGAACTCCACCAGAATGTAATATAAACTGGCCCCAATGGCCGTCTAGCCCCCACCATTGAATTTTAAATGTAAAATTGGCCATAAAACATGTATCACACGACCCTAGCATAGTTGGGTTCATATTGTGACCCTTAGTGACCTGACCTCTGTGAACTGACCTGGCATCAATGACCTCTTTAGCCAACATATGTGTTAGACAACCAACGCTCCATCGATGTTTTTCGATAACATGCCTTTTATTTGATGTGTTAACTGACTGTAACGCATTCCTTAGACTAAATCGGTGAAAAAAATGCGACCTTTGACCTGACTTGTGACGTCATGTGTTGCACCTGGGTCAACGAAACCTGGTAACAAGGTAGTTCCTGGTGGGGCTATCGAACGCTCTTTGAATGTTTAAAATCGGTTGGTAACTTTCCGAGATCTCAGGTGGAGGGCGAAACGGCTGCACCACCCGATCAGGTGGTAACGCCAATAGCCCAAGGGGGCGCGGAATATTTATTCACTCATACGGTGTCATTTATTTTGAGAACACCTTTCTCACGCCATGACATGGTCCTCTCGTAATAGAATGAGATGAGGAGAGTGTTTTCACGCCTCCTTATGCACGGGTCTAAGTGTCATTGAGCTATCAACTGTCAGCGGTTTTCGGACAATGAAGTTCTTAGTTCTTACTGAATCCAATTTTATTTCAAACGATTGTCACTGCTAGTTTTCTTCTTATACGTTTTTGAAAAAGCGCTGAAGAAGTCTTTGATAGACGAAACCGGTCCGCTTATTCTTTTTCTAATTGTTTTTTGAATATATTCGTAGACTAATGGCTCTTTACTACAAAATTTGAGAATGTTTGGTATTACTTTGACCCGAACGATGTGCAGCTGAATTTTCCCTCTTGAATGATTATGGACAGCTCGCGAAAATAACTTCAACCTAAACTACCGACAAGCAGAAGAAAATCCGATACAAGCCGAAGCCTACCTCAATCCTCTCACCTTGTTCAACCGTTGAAACGTTAAAGACATTTGTTCAGTCAGAGTCGCTATGTCGACCACCCGCGCCGTGCGGGGGGGGGGGGGCGTTTTTACGCCCTTCCCCCTCAGGTTTTTCGCGAATATCTCAAAAACGGCGACGCGACGCGTAGCGTCATTCAAGGTCATGGGTCACCAGGTAACGTCAAGTGACCTTACCTCAGAAAGAAATTCGAAAGCTCGCTGTAGCTACACCGACTGGGCGATCACTTAAAAACTTTCAGTAATTGCTTAGGGTAACAGTATGTATAAAATGGATACCTCGGATTTCTGTCTGTGACCTAAGGTCAGGTCAATTTTGCGACTGCCACATTAGGTATAAGTCAATGGGAGAAAATTGAAATGCGCCTTTTTTTGGACGAATTTCGTTCTACACCCTCTCAAACATCGGTTCATAGGTAAACATTACACACTGAATCGGAAAATTGCACCTGTGATTCCTGTGTGTGCCCTTGAGGTCATTTTAGGACATAAACGGTCTTCAGCAGTTCTTTGACTCTTGACAGAGACGTGCTAGAGCGGTGAAAACACTGTTGATCTGAGGTCAAATTTGAGATCAATCATAGAGGTGCCCTCTGGGGCTAAACCGTTGATCTGAGGTCAAATTTGAGGACATGTTGGCGAAAGAGCGTTAAAAGAGCTATCGAATGCGCTATCAAATTTGAGCTATCAAATGAGCTATCAAATTTTAGAATTTGTTGGCGAAAGAGCGTTAAAAGAGCTATCGAATGCGCTTTTCCGCGGCGCTGTAGCTATATTGGTTCCCGAGTTAGCCGTCGGTTGTTCCGAATCGTTGAAATCAACAAAATATGACCTTTGATGAACCCTGGTGACCTGACCTTTGCCTTGACCTTAAAATGACCGAGTGTTTTCCTCCTTATTTTTGACGCTTTTTCGATTGTTGCTTATTGCGTGTCGCTACGTGGTCCAGGAGCCGAGTTAGATGGAGGGGCGTGACCCCCCCCCCCCAGCACTCGATGGAAAGTGCATGCCACCAAAACGGCGCGGGTTAATTGTTATGTTAGCTAGCTCCTGTTGTAAGCTGTGGAGTCGTAAACCTCATCTTGAAGGAACTGGGCCTAACATTTTCATAGCAAAGGTAAAAAAAATGTTTAATAGGTTGCGCAAAAAATAGCATCTCATTCATGAAGCATTTGCGAAACCTTCAACAGTCATCCCAAGACCCTATTAGTGCCGAGCTCCCAACGACGACCATAAAAGCGTCCCCATCCCGTCATAGGCGGCGGAAGGGGGAGGGCACCGGGGCACCGTGCCCCCCTTTGATTTTGGCATTTCAACATTAGCCCTATGAGCGTTGCATGGAAATAATAGGACCAAAAGTCGGCAGTGCCCCCCCCCCCCTTAACCCTATTAGTGGCAGGCTCCTTGCTACCCCTATTAGTGGCAGGGGGGGCTGTTTACGACCCCCCCCTTGATATCTCGAGATCTAACGGGCCGATTTTCAAAATTCAAACGGCATTCGATTTCGCTCAACGTGATCTACATTTCTAAAAAATAAAAATTAAAAAAATGTCAATAGGGGGGTAGAGGGGGGTAAAAACGGGCAAATTGCAGATACATTTTTGACTGTTTATCACGGCCAGGTTTCTGAACCAATCTTAACGCAACTTTTGCCGATCGATAGAGAATGAACCAGGAATTCACATGGATCCTAAAAATATGCATTTTCAAAAATCATAGGTGGATACAGATCATTGAGATTGGGGGTACACAAAAAGTATAGTAAATAAGGTTTTTGTTGGTACTGTTTCTAAAAAGGGTGGTAATGGTCTTGTTATGTTACAATTTTCTTATGAGAGAACGACTACAATTGTATTGGTCATGCATAGACGTTGTCAGGGCACCTATGTTGGGAGTTAAAACATAACCCCCCTTTTTGGACGCCTGGATCCGCCTATTATAGCAAAAACGTGTCAAAAGAGGATGCACAATAACTTTGTATATGTTATCACATGATACCTTTCATTCACTGTTCGTAAAACTGGTGCATACAGTTACATATAATACATCAGCATCGTGATCTTCGCCCAAATGACTCGCTTCACGAATAGGACCCCTCAATTCCCAGTGCTCTGGAGCCACCCCTGGTAAAGTTATGAGCTTGAAATTTTCAGGGAATGTGCCCAATTTAGTTTTAGGAAAAGTCAGAAAATTTCAGCATCGTAGCTTCAGCGGTTTCGGAGATATTCCCGAAAAACCTGAGGGGTGGATGAAAACAACCCCCCTGCCACTAATAGGGTTAATTGTAGGTGTTCTGCCGCTACTGCATCCCGTCAACGTGGGTTTATCATTTAAGGATGCTAAGATTTAATTTCCAATCCGAAGCTGTAATGATGGAAAGCAAATTTACATTTTACATGTGAAACAAGCTGACACAACTAGATGTTTCCTCTCTCGCTCCCTCTCACTGATTTACCCATTTTGCCCTCTTTCTCATATAACCCTCTCTGGTTTTCCATTTCAGTTTTTTTCTCTCTCTTTTCTCTCCTCCCGTCCTTATCCATTCCCTCCAGTCTTCTTCTCTCTCTCTCTCTCTCTCTCTCTCTCTCTCTCTCTCTCTCTCTCTCTCTCTCTCTCTCTCTCTCTCTCTCTCTCTCTCTCTCTCTCTCTCTCTCTCTCTCTCTCTCTCTCTCTCTCTCTCTCTCTCTCTCTCTCTCTCTCTCTCTCTCTCTCTCTCCCTCTCTCTCTCTCTCTCTCTCGCTCTCGCTCTCGCTCTCGCTCTCGCTCTCGCTCTCTCTTTCTCTCTCTTGCTCTCTCCCTCTCTCTTTCTCCCTCTCTCTTTCTCTCTCTCCCTCTCTCTCCTCTCTCTTTCTCTCTCTCCTCTCCCTCTCTCCCTCCCTCTCCTTCTCCCTCTCTCTCTCTCTCTTTCCTCACAATATTCTCGACCGTCACAGCGTTGTAGAGCTTGTTTCCAGACAGGTCCAGGCGCTCCCCACTCCGCAAGCCCCAGCCCACACGGCCCAACCGCTCAAACACCCTCCGGCGGATGACCTCTGGCCTCGGCGACCTGACCCCAGCCGACCGATCGCGTCCCTCTCCACGCCTCCGCCCCGCTTCCCCACTACAGCTGCGTAGTAATTGTAGCGTGTGCAAAGGTCACGTGACATTATTTACGTCTGCGGCTTGTTCGGCTGACAAGAGATGGCACTAGTGGTCTGTGGATCAGAGGCGGGGCTAGGTTCTACGACTTCTTGGGGCACACTTAAGGGCAAAAAAGAGGTTTTTTGGCTCCCCATCCCAAAATGCTTCGAATATACAAAAACAAGTTAGATATTCGAAAATCGGAGGACCAAACGGTTCGTTTGACGTATCTTGCGCGACTGAGAATTGATCGGTCTTCAAACTACTGAACAAAAACGAGGTGATTAGTAGCAAGTGCTGGTGACTGTACCTAATGATCGCTGCAGCCTGCAAGAAGTCATTTTGTAACTTGTAAGCATTTTCGGGTGTTTTCTTTTCCGGGGGAGGGGACGTCCCCGCCGGAATCTTCGACTGGGGAGGACGCGTCCCCCCCCCCCGTCCCCCTGGCTTTCGACGCCCATGTTCTTTCACACTGTAGCAAATTTGTGATTGCTTCCCATTTCTCAAAATTGTTTTAATGACGTCATGATGCTTTGGTCAACTCCCCGATTCCGTAGATTACAATAGTGAAATCCTTGAAGTCAAAGATTTGGCGCTCTTGTGAGGTTTGCGGCGTGTGCGTCGCAGCAACTTTTTTTTTGGTATGACATGTTTCACATATTTTTCTGATTTTATAACATCTTAGATATTTTCACATGATATTTCAAGAAGAATAATTCCAGTGGCGCCTACTTACTTCTTATCTTTTATGCTCAATTGTGTAGGTTTCTTACTTCCTACTTCAGCCTACTTTTGACCAATGTTTCAGTTTTGCATAAATTTGATTGGTTTGTGCTGATGTTGGTGTTCATTCATTGACTTGAATAATGCATATAATTTACTGCAAATTGCTTTTCAATTCAATAATTCCCTAGCAGCTAGTTGGTAGAAATTGGTGTTCCCTGTTTACTGTTTCTAAGGGCCTTGACTGTTACCAGGTTTGCTGTTATGAGAGGGTAAAGGGGGCCCTGTTTCACCGGTGAAAGCAGCACGCTACTATCAAATTGTGCGAGCTGACGCAATGTGATGAGGTCACACTAATGATGTTTCGTGTAATCCGTGAGCTGCGTTTGGAACAGAGTTGCTGTCTCATTGAATGCGTTTGATAACATTTGTTTGATCGCATGACCATGAAGATGTTAGCAGCAATAATATTATTTGATGACATCACACAGATTGACAGCGTCATGGTTTGTTGATGTTTCCATGGAAACCCAATTTGACACGTGTAATAGCAGCGTGCTGCTATCACCGCTGAAACAGGGCCCTGGATTTGAGTTGCTTGAGCCCTGTGCACATAAGAATGTGGTGTTTTCTTATTGTTGGGAATATCAAATCAAAATAACAAATTCTTCAACAAAGCACACATTCCTTTTCAAGGCACTCTTTTTGGAATGAGAAATGGAATAGGTATCTTTGCCTAGGGTGATTGTTGACTCACCTGGTTGACTCACCTTGTTGGGTTCCTAGTGCCGGAAACAGACAGGCAGGAAAGGATGGCAAGGAGAATGAAGGAACCCTGAACTATAAACGCGCCAGCCCCTTATCTCAGTCCATCTTGCAGCAATCCGAGTAGTTAAGGCTGGAATTGTGCGTCTTCTACATAGTTTGTCACATGACTTGTCATATATCCAAGTTCTAGTCTAGTCTTGCCAGATGAACCTGAAGGCTGAAAATTCAGAACACTGCTTGTGACAGACATGACTTGTATTTTAGTGTGGAGTGTATGATGAAGGTTCATCAAACTTTCTAATTTATGTTTAATTTGTACCAGACAAATGCATTACATGAACAAAGTTATTGGTGCATTCAGCATTACACAGCTCAAAGTTATTACAGCAGCAACAGTTATACAGCAGCAAAGTTATTGGTGCATTACAGCAAGATTGGTATCATTACAGCAGACAGCTTGTTGTGCATAGCAACTTTGACCATTTAAACCAATGTCTAAAACTGTAAATACACATTACCTACACATATCCTTACACTCACCATATTTCAGCCAAGTCCCAAGGCCTAGTCAAATCAAAATGATAAATGGGTGTTTAACTGCGCTCTCAAACTACTGAAAAAGTTTAACTTTTTGTGTGAATTGTGGTGGTCTATTGTACAGCTTGCTGTTTTGACTTGACATGTTTTTCTTTTCAGTTGTAAGAATAAGAACACAGAATATGTCAAAACACTACAAAATGAATCCTATGCAGCCAATAACACAACTCATTGAAGTTAAATCAAAGGTAAATATTGTGCCCTTTAGTGTTTGTTGTTTAGCACATTTGGTTATCATTTTTTAGCTGAAATCAGTTTTGGAAGCATGATGTGATGGTTATGCTCAATTTTACAAGTACCAAGTCAATATAACATTTCAGGCATTTGATTTTCTCAATGCTGGTATCTTTCTTTCATTTACCTTCATTTTTGTATTGTCAAAACGATTGCCTCATTATCAAGCCCCATAGCTTCCCTACAATTGGTGACCACCTGTGCCTTTGGCCGCAGTTTGACGCCGAATTTCGGCGGATCAGCGTGGAGCGCTCTGCGATGAAGCAGTTCGACGACTTGCACGAGGTGCTGCAGAAGCTGCACCTGCTGGAGGAGATCGCCTTCACCATCACCTACTCCGACCCCAAGGACGGCTACCTGCTGCCCATCAACAACGACGACAACTTCGCCAAGGCGATCGAGTGTGCGCGGCCGCTGCTGCGTATCTTCCTACAGAGGAAAGGTGGGCTGATGGTGTGCGATTGCCGCCTGTGCCGCCCTCTATCCGAGCGCTAGGGGTCCGCCTGTGGATAGGGTGGTGTGTAGATGGCGACACGGCGTGGCTTATGCCGTGATTTAGAAGAGGATGGTCAGCTGGTCACTACCTATTTGTCGTGATTGTGTGGCAACGCAATTATTCCTTATGAACGTCTTGCATGATAACCTCGTTGTCGGCGCGCACCTGATACCAAAGAACGGGGCTTGATTCGTCTATGTTGCTAAATTGTTACGATGTTTGCTTTACATGGAACAAGTTCAAAACACACATCTACGAAAATATCGCTTGTTAGTCACGTTACTTGATGCTAACGTTGCTTTCAGATGCTGTAAGACTCTGACTCGTTATTGCACAAATAGGGCAAATACGGCTCAAATTTTCTGTACTTCTATTTGTCCCAGCTTCTGTGACATAACAACTGGTGTACGGCCCATCGCACCACCCGCCATCTCACCTCTTCACACTCCCTCATCTCCCCAGGCGAGAGCGTGCTCTGGGACCTGAGTGGCCAGTCGACACTGAAGCGCGGCAAGTTTCTACCGCAGCTGATCGGTTCGCCGAGGGTCAAACTGCCGGCCATCTCGTACCCGGAGAACTTCAGACAGGTGGGTGGCGTGGGATGTCTTCCGGCTTTCTGCGAAGAGCGGTTGTTGGTGTGAGAATTGTATGTGTTTTATTGATTGTGTCCCCTGGAAAACGGTTTAGAGTTGAAATGCTCAAACTTTTTTTTTGCTGTCAAGCTGTATTAAAATCAGTCGTAACTATTGGTGCTCAAACGGCTTCGCTGCTTCCTGATCAATGAATTCGATGACGGACTTGAAAGCTGCGACAAAAGATGCCAGTGTGTAGTTGGACGCAGAAAATACAGTATGTGCAGATGTGTAGTATGACGCTGTTGCCGAGATATAAATGCATGCCGAAGTGGACCTGTGTATGACTGTGTGTATGGTGTCGTTGGATCGACCTTTACCGGCTACGCTGAACCCAATGTGGGAAGAATTGAATAGCATGGGTTGCCGGTCTTTTTACTCCACTTCGATACCTCCTGGTCGAAGCCATTAGTGACTCTGTCTAACCCCCGTCTCTACCGTCCCCGCTGTACGCAGGTGGCTCAGATTATCGACGTGGACTCGGTTCCGGAGCGATGTCGGCGTGTGCGTCTGCTGAAACACGGCTCCGAGCGGCCGCTGGGCTTCTACATCAGGGACGGCACCAGTCTGAGGGTGACGCCCACGGGACTGGAGAAGGTACGGGGTCGGGAGGTGGCGATGGGTGGTTAGAAGTTCGCAGAACTGTAAGTCAATTTATCGAAACGCTTCTGAATGATCTATGCTCAACACTTCAACAGTCATATTTAAATTATTTTGCAGTTCCACTAGTCTGCAAAAATTATTGTTTTGACTTTAAATGGGGCATTACATGTCCGTGGTTCCTGTGCCAGATCGGCTACCATTCTCTGCCCAATTTTCGCTGCAGCCGTGTCATCCACGCCCTCTACATCGTCCTGTACTGGACCCCTCCTGTCTGACGCGTCCGCTCCTCTCCAGGTGCCCGGTATCTTCATCTCCCGGCTGGTGCCCGGCGGCCTGGCCGAGAGTACCGGTCTGCTGGCCGTCAACGATGAGGTCCTCGAGGTCAACGGTATCGAGGTGGCCGGCAAAACGCTCGACCAGGTATGTGTGGGTGCGCGCTGCCTAATCGCTGTGTGGCTGTGGGGTTTGTCACGTGCGGTGGTGCGCTGCTATGCATTGTGACAGGTTAAGTGCATGTGTGGGTGTTTCTAATTTTGTGAAAGGAATTGCATGATGAGCATTATTGCGTATTTCATATTGCGGGTGCTGCATGCGGGCACATTATGGTCACACAAAAAGAATCATTGGTATGATTGATATAACAAATGCTATATCGGGATTCATATTTCACGCCTAACCAGTCATTATTATTACCCATTTTGCGTCAGGGTTTGTTTCTGACGTGTCTGCCTGAGGCGTTTTGCACTGCCGATCCCCTTTGGCGAAGGTTCCGATGCTATAACGGTCGCCGTGCCTGGTTACGGCATACACGCGGCTGCCCACGCTCGTGGCGCCCGTGACCGGGGCGCAGTAAACAGCCCTGGGGGCGCGCGCTGTTGATGAGCCGCCCACGCCACCCGACGGTGACGCCCTGTATACGGGGACGCCCACGCGCAGCGCCGCTGTTTGGGACTAGTGACGTCAGAATGAGCGGCTGCGGCAGCAGAATTAGCTGTTAGTGGTGGCAGGCGATTCGTTTAGCTGTCCGCTTTGGCGCCCGGAATTAACGAAGCCTTGCGCTGGGCTCGAACTGTGGCGTGGTCGTTTGAGTTTTGACGGGCACTTCGGGCATCGGTTTTCGGTTTACTAATTGCATGAGCATGTTGGTGACGGTGGTGGCACACTAAATGGGCTTTTAAGCAATTGTGTGCTCCTGAGCTTTTGGAAAATGGCATGAAATTGCGAGGTAAGATACGTTTTTATTGTTTCTTCATTATTGCGGCTTTCAGATAATTTTTCTTTCTCCCGTTCTCGCCCAACAATCTCCTGGATAGCTTCAACAACTGTCTTTGTCCTAATAATCCTGATGCCTTTGCATACCTTTTATTCGATTAACTAACACCTGTGTCTGCTATGGTCGCCACATAATACCATTTGCTTCACATATTCCCGTCATTTTTAATGCATAACTGTTTTAGATTCTTAAATGACCTTACAATGCTTAAACATTGTTTGATTATTACAGCAATGATAGTATGAAACGGAATATTACATCATACATGATCTTTGTCTACCCCCATTTAAGTCATTTTCTGGCGAGAGCTCTGTTGCAACTACATGCTCTTGGCTGTCAGAGCTCCTCACTTGGTTTCGAGGGTGCTCAGGCAGATTAAAAATGCAGTTGATATTTGTGAGAAAATGCCATAAATATGCAGGCATAACGAAAATTATTCAAGATTGTAGCCCAACCTTCATTCATTGCTCATTACGTTTTGCCGCTGGCCTCTCACCTCCACATTTCCCTCAGGTGACGGACATGATGGTGGCCAACTCGTCCAACCTGATCGTGACGGTGAAGCCGGCCACTCAGCGGTACCCGCTGGTTGAGCAGGCCCCCGAGCGGGGCGCCAGCGCGCGCACCTCCCAGCTCAGTCACGCATCCAACCTCTCGGCGCAGTCGGCACGCAGCTCGGACGACGAGCGAGACGACGTCTGTCTGCTGGCGAATCGCTCCAACGGGGTCCTTCACCTCTGAGGGGGGTGTTCCCGTCACCTACGCGAAGGAGGAGGAGCAGTACTTCATTAGCTCCTTTGGAGGAGGGCGCATTGGGGAGCGTTGGCTTCCCTTCGCTCACCTGATGGTTTGAGTATTAAATTATGCAGTGCATGATTGGGAGGGTGCATTAGTGCCCGATCAGGATTATAGGATTATAACAAATGTGTTGTGCATCCAAAGGTGGACCAAGTAGATGAAAAGGTGTCCTCGATGTCCAATTAAGTGAGGCATGTGGCGTGGTGCCATGCGTTTCTTAGGTAAACAAAGGAGGCGATTTTCTGCGATACCCTTCCAATTCTGCTGTGAGGTGTCGGTGATTGGTCCTTGAAATGGTCTGAAAGGGCGACTATACTTTGTGATGGTAGAAGATCAAATGTGTTTCTACTTTAGTATGACGAAGTTAGCCTGTTTTCATCAGTAAACTGATAGGCTCAGATTTTACGTAGATCATTTCTGTTTTTAATTTTTCAAGGTTTTTTACATAGGATGTGCTATGTAATTAATGATTCGACTGCATTCTTTCAGAGAGATCTGGCTTGCTTATATTTATCCACCAACAAGTTTCACAAATGGCGTCCACTTTCTAAAATGTTAAATCGGTCATTTGCGCATTTGTTAAGCCATCTTATATTGCTCATTAGCTAGCTACCACCAGTGTGTAGTTGATTTCCAGTGGTGTCCTATCCGATCGTCGACAGTATTTGTGACTCGTGTACGCACATTCTAGTGCCGGCTCCGTCCAAACGTGCCAGTCTGAAATCAGACCGTTGATCCGTCCTTTAGGCCTTGTGCTGATCGAGTTTCGTAAGGGCGCGGGAAGTGCGGAATTGCGATCCTCCAAGTGATTTAGTGGGTGCTTTATCACGACTGAGGCTTTTCAGGCTGCGATGTCCCTCCAACCAGGAGGTGAGGGTGATGCTACTTCCACATGTTGAGCAGTGGTGTGATTATGCAGAGGTGTGTTGATGCCGTCTTCATAATTACTTCTGATACGTCGCGAGTGATGTAGTTTATGATGTCTCTGACGTGCCTAGTGCCAGAGGGACTGTCCTCCGGTAGCGCACTGATTAGAGCTACTTCGGGATGTTTTCAAGGCTGGGTCTTGAGTCCCACTTTGTTTGTCCCCTCTTAGCCTAAGGTTGTGCCGATGCCCTAACGGGCGCAGTATTCCGATGACGATCAAATGAGGCTGGAAAAGTGTCAGATGATAAGCCCATCATGAATTTATTCTTGGACAAGTTTTGTTAGATTTTAATTAAAACTGCTGGTGTTTGTGTGTATGTTTAAGCGTTGCGTGCAGGGATGCGGAGCCGGAGCCGGAGCCGGAGCCGGAGCCGCCGGAGCCGGCATATTTTGCCCGGAGCCGGAGCCGGAGCCGGAGCCGTGAAACAATGTAGCCCGGAGCCGGAGCCGGAGCCGGAGCCGTCAAAAAAGGGGGCGACTCCGGCTCCTTTTCTTTAGAGGAAACAATTATTTACCTAGTTCGGTTTGACAGTAGGGACCGTCGAGGTCCTGGTCAGTGTTCTCTACCTTCAGTGTTCGCATACACGGTTACACCTCGCCTCGCATTCAAAGCAATGCTGCCACCACCTTCAAGGCGTAAAACAATGTGGTATTCAAAATGTGGTATTCCACCCGTATTTAATTGATCGCATAGGGGATGTAGGGTAGGGTGAGGTAATTTGAACATGTGGGGCAATTTGAACATAGTGTGAATAACACAAAATTACGGAAAATCCATAAGTGGCATGACAATAAGACCAATGAGAGAAATTATCGTAACTAAAAGGGCTATCATATGAACGGGGTTTAAAGTTTCAGGGAATGAAGATGTTGACGCACAGTGTAAAAAATAATTTCGCAAGGATAAACGCCTAACAACACGTCATTGCAACTTCATTGTAGCGCAAAATCTTGCATTGCTAGTGCCTAATACGTAACAGCTTTTGTTGTACAATGACCTAATCAGTGTCTTCAATCCAAGAAATTTGCTTTTGAACCCTGTTTTTGAAAATGGCAAAATAACTTTTTGTGTGGGGTAATTTGAACATAGTGTGAGAATTTCAATGAAAACAGGGATAGCTCCGAAAAAAACAGCTCTCCCAGTTTTGTTTTTGCCAATATTTTCGACCCAAAGCAGTAGCAGATAAGTGATGCCAGTTTTCGAAAATTTACGTCTAATTTCCGTCTAATGCCCGGCATTTTCGTTGATTTTCCGTCCAAAAATGTTAAAGTCAACTATTTGTCCAAATATGTCCGAAAATTATGCAGCTATCAACACTCAAAACCGTCATTTATATTGCTTATCACGTAATTTTACCAGCCGAAAAGTGTTCATTACATTGAGAGCTTAACAAGCTTTCCATTCGCCAAGCAATGCTACGCACGATTACTTGATAAAAATGCTCAAGTGTGGCAGGCCATCGTCCAATGTTGTCCAGACTACTATACCTACCTTTGTGCAATCAATTCCGAATTGGACATAATAAAGAATCGGAACTCCGAATGTCCAGGTTCCGATTGGCACCACTATAACAGATGAAGTAAGGTTTGGTAGAGTTTTTATCGAACGGAGATGATAGACGTCCTGTTAATTGAAGAGAGGCGAATTCTTTCAACTGACCTGTGTGCAGCGTGCAGATATCGATACTCTGCAACTGTTATTTTTGTTGCTGTGTTGATTTTCAAATGAAGGTATGTTTAGAATTGCTCTACCTATTCGTTTATGGGTCAAACAATGCATCGGTGCTGGCGAGACTATCGTTTTTATGGCAGGTAAAGGCAGTATGTTCAAATTACCCCACGGTGGGGCAATTTGAACACACCGTGACTTGGTGGAGAAGTGATGCTATGCTATTCAAGGTATGCTCGGCTCGTCCAAAAATGAGGCTTGCATGGTAAAAGCAAGTGACACATGCGCTACTGAAACAGTTTTTCTTCATCCAGGGTTGAGCTGGAAGTTGGTACAAGGGAGAAGACGTAAAAATATGCTCAAATTACCCCACACTACCCTACTTGGTAGAAGCCGGAGCCGGAGCCGCCGGAGCCGGAGCCGCCGGAGCCGGATCATTTTACTCGGAGCCGGAGCCGGAGCCGGAGCCGCCATGACATTTCACCCGGAGCCGGAGCCGGAGCCGGAGCCGATTTTTTTCTCCGGAGCCGGAGCCGGAGTCGGAGCCGTCTGAAATTTCCACGGCTCCGCATCCCTGGACTTGCGTGTGTTCTTTTACTTGCTGCTTTATTAATCGACGATCAAACTGACAATCATATTCGTTGCTTCTGGTTTGAAACGGTATATTTTTGTTGGTGTTTTACGACTCTGTGATTTTATGCCCGTTTCTCATTGCATGTCTTGCCCATCACTCTTGCCACTTGTGCACTCGACAATACTCATCGGGTCTGATTTAGATGAAATATGAATCCACCTGCTAGAACGTGAATGGCCAGAATTTCTCATGGATCTTATTTTACATACTGCACTTGTTTCTGAGAACCAGCTGATGGCTGTATTTGTATATTTTACTGTACTATGATGTGTCACGCTTTACTATCTATTGTTCCGGCGATAGCTACCTTTTCTCCCCGAAGTGCCAAGTGTTGATTGCCTAACGTGACCTGTAAACGTCGATTAGCTGAGCACACAGCAGTTTTTCGAGTTCAGGCTGCGTGCATCATGCCCTGTATTCGTGCTTCTTCATCGTCGTTTTGGACGTGCCGTTCGTCCCTCGTCCCTAGCCCGCCTGCGCGGCGTTCCTGCGCTACACCCGGTCACTGCGCCGACCCTCCCCAGCGGACAGTACGTGAACCCAAAGGTGCATCGTGTGCCGAGAGGTGGCGTGTGCCAGCGTATTCCTGAATGTGGCTTTGAACTGTCTGCGTCCATCCGCTCCCCTCACAACATTTCAGGTTGTGGCTGAATATGACGGTGCGTTATAGATCGTGGGGGACGGTTTCCGGGCTGATTCGTAATTATTAAACGTGCCTATATTTTTGTAGAGATTTTGTCCGAAAACGATTGTTGTGACGAGCCGATTAGGCGATCGGTTGGATCGCCTAGGCGATCGGTTGGAACTGTTGTAGATTTAAGTGAATGGTTATGACAATAAACTGTACGAGATTCACTGGTGTTTTTTTTTTCAGTGGTCAAGAATGGTTTCGAAGGGCGTTGCAAGGTGCTTTGGTATGGTACAGGAGTCAGGACGGCTTTAAAGGGTGTTGTTGTAGTAGGTAGTTAGATTCTCTGAATACCTTGGGATGGTGCTTGGTGAAACGAACAGTTTTTCACCCTTCGATCGGTTTCGGTGTCGAAAAAATGTATACACGATGAAGATGAGTGAAGGTTATTTCTTGCGTCTCGTCATTTTTTAATCCGGATACGCAATGATGAGTACTACAGACGCAAAACACAAAGCTACTCGACAAAGTGCAGGAATTCGCCGATAATCTTGGACCAAGACCAAGATTATCCTATGCCAACTTGTTCTCTGACCCTCCCACCAACGGCAGTACGTCATGATCTAATCTCCGGGCGCCCCACGGGCCAGCTCATGCAACTTGTCACCGGGCGCCGGGCGCTGAGAGATGTCTTTGGAAAAGCATTAATTATTCAAGTAGTTTGAGATCCTGCAGCGTTACGGCTTGTGACGGCTCTTGCATAAGTTGTTTTCGGTAAATCGTGCAGTGTTCCAGAGAGTGACGGCCGTTCAGCCCGGACTGTCGCGGCGGCGCTCAGAAGTTGCTCGTTTGTCAATCATTTGGCGTTATGTAATCTGCAAACAAATTAATTGGGCTCAAGTTCTTGAATATCACGACAAGTACCAAATGACCCTTTGCGGCTTGTTTACCGTTTAGGTGCTTCGTTATCTTCATTGTTGTAATATGAATCGTGTGGAACGCAATCTTGCTCAAGCCCATCTCTGATGCTTTAAGTCAACGTACGAGTATGTATTTTTTACGGCCAAATAAAAAAGAAGTTCCTCACTGTCATTATAGTATGTTTATTTTCAACAATCAAGGGGCATGACTTATGATTTTCAACGCTAAAATTGGACGCCTATACGACGCTTATGCTTGGATGTATGTAAGGCGCAAATGGTAGAAACACGCAGATTGTTAATCTTCGCCTAAACTTTTGTGAATGTTGCGAAAGAAAATGTCTTATGTGATATGCCAAACTATTGATTCAGTTGAACATAAAATATTAGCGCGTTTTATGAATGTATACTGGGTAATGCAACTCCTTGTCATTTCGTTAACACCTAGGTTCCGCTTTTCCTACCTCATGTTCCTTCCATCTGATAGGTCCATGGACGTTTAGTGTTGACCACTGAAGACTGTCAAAAGTGAACGGTGTTACGCAGGTCCATGGACAGTTTGCCACTGAGGAATGTCATAAGTGGACGGTGTTACGCAGGTCTATGGACTGTTTACCACTGAAGACTGTCAAAAATGGACGATGTTACGCAGGTCCATGGACTGTTTACCACTGAAGACTGTCATAAGTGGACGGTGTTACGCCACCGGACCGGGAGCTATGAACGGTGAACGTTGAAGGCTGAGTCTCTGAACATGGTGGACGGATCCTACAGCTGGCGTGCTCATCCTCGGCACCGGTGAGTACCTGCGACTCCCCCGCTCTCTCTCTCTCTCTCTCTCTCTCTCTCTCTCTCTCTCTCTCTCTCTCTCTCTCTCTCTCTCTCTCTCTCTCTCTCTCTCTCTCTCTCTCCCATCTCTCTCTCTCTCTCTCTCTCTCTCTCTCTCTCTCTTCTCTCTCTCTCCATCTGCATTTATCCCTGTATCTCTTCCATCTCGTCCTTTATCTCTGGCATCTATGACCGAATTTAGCCAGGGCTGTTGTGTTCTTTTGCAACTGTCAGTCTGGCATCAAGCGCTACTCGTAAGAACTATCGATATCAAGATAGTCTCAGCTGCCACCCCCACGGCCCGCCTCAGCTTACCCCATGCATCCTGCCCTTTCAACGTCTCCTCACATAGCTCCTTGGTCGCCGCACCCACCCCAGAGCCAAGCATTACACTCGGTGAAAACAAAGGGCGATCTATCAGCCGTCTGATGGAAAAGTGGTGTCAGTAAAACGTCGTTCGG